TTTGTCTTCAGCGGTTGTGTTGGGAAGGTGAGCATCATAGAATGCCAATTTAATAGAAGAAAGTATTCTTGCATTGAGGGAGTACTTGAGTAGAGGCCCAGTGTCCTGCAGAAGGGGATTTCAAACTCCCATAGAACCCAGATTTTCTGGACCCATGCAGGCTGGATCATCCATCACCTGAAACTACTGCCTTAGGATAGTCTTTAACCTTAAAGCAAACATATCTCCTCAAGTCTTAAAACCCAACAGTAATTTAGTTTACTTTGTAAAGAATGTTGGCCTTGAGCATTATGCTCTTTTAAGAACTATCTAGATACGTGAAAATGGGTAACAGCAACTCAACAGATTAGATAGGAGCCGTGGGGGGCGCGGGGGTGTGAGTTTATGCTAACGAGGAAAGAGCAACGTGGAGAATGAGGGGAGAGCGCCCTCCTGACTTGAAGAGTGTCATAAGTGCCGCTGAACTGGACGTGTAGAAATTATTTAAGTAGCATTATGCTTTGCTGTGTGTAGCCAATCATAAAAATAATTCAAAAATTGAATTTGGGGACCGCTTTTCCCTCTTGGGATGAATGTAATTAAATATGCATGGACCAAGAAGATTACACATCAAGTGTCCATAAAGGTTTGACATAAAGTGGCCAGAGCTGTAATTTCCTCATTGTGACTACGAATGAAAGGAACCGATGAAGTAACGCTGGGGAGAGATGGAAGGAAGGTGGGCTGCAGTGGTGATGTCCAGGATGATGTGCAACGAGACTGTAAAAGTCATGTTTTATAAAGTAGGAAGAAGAAAACCATCACCACCATCGCGCTGGTTTTTAACTTGGTATTGCGACTTGAGTAAAGGTTCACAAGCTGCCCTTCCAGTCAACCGTTCACACACATCCTGTTTTGTGAGACTGATCACAGGCCCCAGTGCACAGCAGCAGGCTTCTCACTGGCTCCACGCGTTTCTCAGTTCCACCCATCCTGGTTTTTTCATCTCGTTCTGCTTTCTGAACGTTATCCCTGGGCAAACGCAGCATTTTTGACCATGTCTGGTTGCCTCGTCTAAGGAATGCAGCTTCTCTGGTACATATTGGGTGCAATTCCAGGCATGACAGGTGATTGGATTATGGGCCATAGTCTGGAGTTCCAGCAGTCTCTATCAGACCAGTAGGCCTGGCCTCTTTGGCTTTTCATGATTTTGAGTTTTGTTGTGCATGTCCCTCCTGCTCTGTCCAGGACCCTGTTAGGGTGATTCCTTTGAGGCGGTCAGCCATGGGAGCTGGACACTATCTAACTCTTCTGGTCTCAGGGGGGTGGAGGAAACAGATTTGCAGGGCCTGTTAGTGCTTTGAACTAATTATTTCCATGAATCTTTGACTTTCTTTACAATTTGCTCCAGACAGGGAAAGGCCAAAAGTTGCATCTCAGGTGGATGATCATAAGCTGTTAAGACGAGTTGCTACTCACCAAAGCAGCATGTCAAGCATTGTCTTTGAGGGTTACACGAGGCTCGTCAACCCATTCCCTCAAGGTGTTTGGTTATGGCTAAACATTTTCCATAACTTGCCCCATCTGCTCTACTCTATCCATAGATATATTTATAGCATGTACAAATAGGTATGTAGAAATATCATCTGCCAAACCTAAATATGATTGTGGGTGTAATCCTGTCCACCTATCCATGCAGTACATCCTGCCTGTGTATGTGTCGTTGTAGACTAATGTTTGTGATTTCAGATATTGCACGATTGTATATGTGTAAGGCTTCGTTGTCTGTAACTTTGTGAACCTCTCTTGTGTCTTAATTTGCCTAAAGGAAATTGTGCTTATTACCTGCTCCCTTATTGTCATACTTCCTGAATATGTCTATTATCTAGTTAGTGAGTTTCACCCCTTTCCCACTCCACCCCTGGTAATGACCAAAAGATGTTTCTCTCAATGTGTAAACCTTTCCCTTCCTTTTTATAATCGTGGACTCTGACACCATTGTCCTTTTGTGATTGGCTTTTCCCCTTAGCATAATGTCCCTCAGGGTTCCCCCTCATTATCTTACTGTATGTGCTTAAAGGAATTTAAGTACTCCCTTGAGTAAAGAGTAGGGGTCCTCAAACATTCTTCGGTGAAGAACCAGATATTAAATATTTTGGTCGTTGTGAGCCATCCTGTGTATTGCCAAAGCAGCCATGTTGTTATTGTGGACCGGTGCCAGAGAGTCTGTTCTGACCCCTAGCGACCCGGTGCACAGCAGGAGGAGACACGGCCTGGTCCTGCGCCGTCCTCACCATTGTGCCTAGATGTGAGCCCATGGTTGCGGCCACTGTGTCCATCCATCTCCTTGAGGGCCTTCCTCTTTGTCACTGCCCTTCTGCTTTACCAAGCTTGATGTCCTTCTCCAGGGACTGGTCTCTACCGACAACATGTCCTAAGTATGCAAGATGAAGTCTTGTCATCCTTGCCCCTAAGGAGCACACTGGCCATACTGCTTCCAAGACAAATCGGTGTGTCCTTTTGGCAATGCATGGTCCTTTCAATATTCTGCTCCAGCACCACAATTCACATGCATGCATTGAATGTTCTTCAGTCTTCCTCATTCAATTCCCAACTCTCACACGCATGTGAGGCAACTGAGAATATCACGGCTTGAGTCAGGAGCACCTTAGTCCCTGAAGTAACATCGTTGCTTTTCAATACTCTGAAGAGGTCTTGTGCAGCAGATTTAGCTAATGCAGTGTATCTTTTGATCTCTTGACTGCTGCTTCCATGAGCATGGATTGTGGATCTAAGCAAGACCAAAATTCTTGACAACTTCATCCTTTTTCCCCCTTTATTATGATGTTACCTATTGGTCCAGTTTACCCCCACTTAAAGACAGATTGCCTTACATGTAACAGTTACGTACAAAAAGTTACAAAATTGTCCTCAGTTTTACAATGATAAATGAAAAACATTACAATTCTCCGATGGAATCATGTATGAAGGACTTTTTGATGTCATTTTGTTGTTGCTGTTGGACAGTGAGGGCCAAATAACTTGGTGGAGGATCGAGAGAAGAGCTGAGTGTGCAGGCCACTGATGGAGAAGGGGGTTTGTCCACAGAACCAGTACTTTCCCCATCCCATCTCCACTGGGTGTCGATTAAAACACACCATTGGCCACTAATCAAAAGCAAAATAAGCAAAGGGGGAAAATGCAGTGTGCTTGTGCACATGCACCAGTTGTTTGCTGTTCAATAAGGGAGCGGGGAAGGGGGGATGAAAGAATAGAGAAAACCATACTGTAGTCGTCAGATGTGGTGGAATTAAATTGTGGTTTTTCTCATTGGGAATGGATTTTTGGTTGGTAGGAAGAGAGTTCTGGAGGGAAGGAACAAGCTCCCTTGTCCTGGAACACATCCCTTGGATCCTCATCCTCCATTTCCAACTGTGCACATGCGTCTGTTTCAGTGATTACCTGCCCCATGGACCAACCCTGCTGTTCACAATAGGCTTTTGTTAATTTACTAAGTGGCGTATGCACCACAGACCATCCTGC